AAGAAACAAATAAATACTTAACTTACCTGCGTAATAGCATTTTCAACGCGAATAGAATTCAACAAGGTGGGTTTGCAACTTCAGCTTTTTATCAATTATGGTTGTATTTTAGTGCATTTGAATTTGTATATTCTTGTAAATTCCGCATCTTCATGAGACACCACAGCTTATAATATTTCAAATTATTTCAGGTTTTAACCATCTTGGAGTAATTTTAATTAAAAAATGCACTAAAAAAGGCACTAGGCACTAAGTAATTTTTTTGGCGTTTTAATTTTCAAAAAGCACTAAATCTAATGCCTAAAGCACCAAGTTGGCAACTATGCGTATACATATATTTCAGATCAGTTTTCAAAGTTTTTAGAGTACAACTCCACAATAGGCGTTTGGCGCTTTTAAGGCTTTCAGCTACACAATTCAGCCATTGCTGAATGCCTGAAAAACTTGTTGTGGAGTTGTACTCTTCGGCACGGTGCCCACTGGAGCGATACGATAGGTGATGCGATAAGCGATACGATATGAAAGCGACATCGATATGCTGAGTACGTGGGAAATTGGTAGGAAGCGATGAAAACTGTCCACACTTGCACGACAGCGACACTGCGGCGACATATATCGCCTGCGTATTGCCCGAGCGACCCGGTTTTCTATCACACCGCATATGGTATCGCGTGTCGTATCGCTGTAATGTGCACTGGGCGCATGTCGATGTGGATTTCATATTATATCGCTTATCGTATCGCTCTAATGTGCACCGTGCGTTACTGTGCGCTTCCATACAAAAGTTCAACAATTTTATTTTGAAAGTCCACAGCACCTTCATTTTCGAAAAAGTCAGCAAGATCATTTCTCAGCTTAAAAGCTTCTTTGCTTGCATTGCGCATGAAAGACCGAGATGGCTTGGGTGCTGACCTTTCATCCTCTATATCCAAGCTCCAGTTTCCTTCACGGATTAGGTGATCCGTTGTTTCGTAATCGGCGTATCTTTCTGGACAATACCAGCGCTTCTGGTCATTTAACATGATAAAATTATGCAATGCTACCGCTGCTAGAACTATTTTTTCACAATTGTGGGGTTCAGCTTCAATAGTTTGGTTGAAGATCCTCCAGCGCGCCACTAAAATGCCGAATGCATTTTCAATCACTCGACGAGCACTGGATAAACGATAATTAAAAATCCGTCGCTGTCTGTTGAGTGCTTTTCCCGGATATGGCCGCATTAAGTTGGAACGTAAAGGGAAAGCTGCATCACCCGCAAAGAAATATGGAAGTGGTGATTTTCCTTCAACTAGTGGTATGCTTATTGGTAGAGGTAACTCATTGTTTAGGAGTGCTCGTCCAAAAGGTGTTGTTCGAAAAATACCTTAAGAAAATGTGTTGAAATTTATGTTTATGGACTTGTATACAATAAAAAAAATACCTCCATCACTATGCCCACCAAACCCTCCAACGCTGACTGATGTTAATGTGTATCTCCCATCACAAGTGGCCATTAGCACAATGCTGTGATATTTTTTGTAGTTGAAGAAACTTGATCCAGCATTACGTGGGCACTTTATTGCTATATGTTTTCCATCTATAACACTAACACAATTTGGAATATTTCATTTGGTGTAAAAGTTTTCAGCTATGTCCTTGTATTGGGATTCCGATGGTTCACTAACATAGAATGGGTGCAAAACTTTCCAAATAATTTCACAAGTCTCCAAGATGATGTTCCGAACAGTGGTCTTTCCTAGTTTGTAACTCCAAGCTAACGCCTGATGGGAGACTCCATGCGCCAAATACCTGTGCTCAAATAACATATAATATGAATTAACATACTTGTATGTTTAGGTAATTTATTCCTTTTTACAATAAAGTGATTGAAAGTCGCTCCTCGGGACATATTGCCTCTCGCACACACTCTTTTGTCAAGTCGTCTTGAATGAGTGATAAAAGCAGTTGAAAAATAGGAACCGTCATACGTGTAGCTTTGAAAAAGTGTTCTACACGTCCTTCCTTCATTGGAAGAAAGGTTTTCGTAAAAAAAACCTGCACTTTTCCTAGCCCAATTATAATTATTATAATTTGCAAATACAATGTGCAAATATATACAAATATGAAACATATTAAAACATCTTATTCGGTACTCATTTCTTTAAAGAACGATGTATTTTCAGCGAAAAACTCTGTTTACTTTAGCTCTGCACAATTTGTTGGTTTCTGTTAGTAAATAAATACAAATTTTGACAGCTGTTGCCATTGGGCGCATTTATAAGACGTAGCTGTTGCCTCACCGTTGGCTATTTGTCTTAGAAACGAACAGTTGAGTAGTTCCGCTCAGCTCAACAGTTGGCAACTGTCCGCTATTTTTTCCAGCGGAAAATTATTACGCTACCTGAACTCAACGTGTTGGGCTTAGCATAAACAGCTGATAGAAAATATTTACGCCGCTTATATTAAATTCAACGCCGCTTTGTCAGGAGGCAGTTGCAAACAAATTTATTATATTTTATATTACTGATGTGATTAAGTAACTAAAATATTTTATAATAATACCACGTTTCTAAATAAATTTTTTTAAGATGTTTGCAATATAATTATACACTGTTTAATTCATTATAACTTTGAACGATTTTTTCAACGCGGCGGCTGCTCAGCGTTGAATTCTAAGTACCATCGGCGCAATTATCTCTATTTATTGCAATTTCATTTGTTTACATTTATCAGCTGTTTATTTGACAGCATATTCATCAAGCCGTTTCTAAGACGTGATTATTGGGTCCTACAGTTGCCACTAGTAATAACACTAATGCTCCCGTCATCGTTAAACTGAGCTCAGCTTCTGATTGCTCTCTGTTGCTGAAATCAGTGGCAAACTACTGTAAAGAAAAGAGAAGGCCAATTTCTCTTCGCGACATGGGATATAATGTTGAAGGGAAACTATTTATACACGAGTGCTTAACAAAGAAAAACCGCGAATTGATGCACTTTGCTACTCAGCTAAAAAAGAAAAGGCGGTTAACATCTGCATTCTCGATTCGTGGCCATGTATTTGTTAGAGCTCAACCGAAAACTGATGCAATCAAAGTGACAGACGTGAAAAGCATAGAAAGTGTAGCAGCTCTTAGCAAATAAGTGCAGAAACATTGTAGCCCAGCTATGGTTTTATGTGATGCTGTTATTTGTATGTTTAAGTTAAGGCTTATCTCTTATATCTTGTTATTGCTTTACATTCATTCCTGTTATACTCTCTCTATCTCAACACTATTTCTGCTGACTGCCTATGCCATTTCACCTTGTATACCCCATTCGACATACATTTATTGCTGATGTGTAATGAAATAACAAAACAGGCAAACAAAGATCATGTTAAAGGAATTCTCAAGCTTGTATGTAATAGCTGCACTGGTTTTAATATATGTAGCTTTAATGCTAGAAGTTTAAATTCCGGGAAAACTGACTACTTAAATTTCATTTTCGATGGCTTAAATATAGACTTATTATATACTACTGAAACGTGGTTCCAAGAGTGCATTGAGGACAACTCCTACGGCTTGTGCGACTATACGTTAGTGAGAAGTGATAGGGCATCAAAGATGCGGGGAGGAGGCATTGCTTTCTATTTCAAAAAACTATATTAAATGGAAAGAAATCAGCAGATCTGAGCCCTATCT